GGAAAGAGCAGTCAGTCTGCAGTAGAGCAGCCCAGGCTAGGAGCAGGAGGAGTGGAAATGCAGTCAGCACTGGTTGGAACAGACTGGTTTTCTGGGTGAGCAGGCAGGGAGCAGAGTTGTTGCTGCTTTTGGCCCTGAGATGGGGAGAAAACAGCCACCTTTCTCAAAGGGGAGGGAGAGAGAAAGTGTGCAGCTGGGCAGGGGGGGACTGCAAAGCTGCCTTATTCAAGCAGGGGCAACCAGAGGACAACCTTGCAGGGAGACAGAACAGTAGGGCTTGGTATCTGTCACAGAGTAAGATGCTCTTTCATTTAGCAGCTTGGGGAGGACTCTTCCTTCCGTTAGCCTCTCCTGGGGGAGATGAAGGACCATCCTGTGGCCTTTGTACAGCACTTTGATCAGGCCTGAGCAACTTGGGTAAGGCACTCTCCTTTTTTTTCCATCCTTTGTCTATCAAGTTCTTCGTCACTAAACAGAAGAAGACAGAAAAGACCCCTTGGTCTGACCACAGTGTCAGCACTGCCTCACTCAATGGCTGCCTTTGGTCCTTGGCTGTGAGATCTGCAGAACCCTGCGTGCACTTGCTGGTTAATGTGTGATGCACTGTCTGGCACCCACCTCACTTTCTAATTAGGATTTATTTATGATGAAGGGAACACTGACCTGTACATACATTAGATATTCCAGAATTATTGATCCTCAGTTGCATGGCTTATTGCAGTTACCTAGTGGGTTATCCCCACTGAAAACTGTTTCCCTTATAGTGTGGCCTCCCTGTTGCTAACTTGCAGCTACGTCCCCCTCATATCTGTCTGCTGCTCATATTAAGGTTCAAAATACATTTAGTTGTGTTGTAAGAAGTCAGTAAGGCCTGTCTCACAACCAATTTTGATCACTCACTGACACATAAATAGCATGTGCCAGTTTTCAAGTTGTTTTAGTTAAGTTGCACTGTAGATGGTAATCTTCTGCTTGGTTCTAGCTTTCTGAAGTGTGGACCAACCTTTAATAAGGTCACTTGTTTGGATCTGTGCCTGTCTCCTGGTCTCATTGACTTAAGCCCAACAGTGGCACTGAGTATGGTATGTCATCCCCATCAGCACGTGCCTGGTCTGCAAATGCAGTGTGTGAGAATGTTTGGTGTGTATTAGTTCACTGCTGAAGTTTCCCAGAAGTATCTTGTCTCTCTTATGGACACAAGATAGTTTTAGGCACAGAATATTTCATCTGCAGGAAATGGAAGCTACACAGTTAAACAGGATAATTCTTTTTTTTATTATTTTTTTAATTTCCACATTACATGAGTATCTTGTTTCTCAGGTATTCAGATAGCATTCATTATCCAAGTGACAACTTCTCTTTGGAAGGATATATAGTCTTTATTAATTTTCTGGTAAATCAAATAGCTTGGCTGTGTGGCTAGTGCTTAACAGCAACCACGCACATTCAAAATTGAACCCATAGTTGGTTCAAAGTAAGATTACTTCTCATGCATCCTTTTTTCAGTTTGTTGTATCCTGGATTTGTATCCAATCCTGCTGTCTGAGGCAGTGATGGAAATCCTTATTATTTTAATTGGAGACCTTTGGAACCAGACCTTGGGTCAAGAAAGAAAAATTAATTTAAAAGGCAGTTGTACTTCAGAGAGGGAAATTAATCCCCAAGGAAGGAAAATTCCTCCTTTGTTTCTGTGGAAGGAAGATTTCAGATAGGTTTTTAAAATGTGTTTCTTCTCCCTGTAAGTTGTCTAGAAATTCAAAAAGCTAAATCAAGGAAGAAGCTTCTTTTGTATTTTGGGTCTGCTTTTGTGAAAGCACAATATTGTTTCCATTTTGTTTTGAATATAATTTAGATCTAGAAATATGATTTACATGTTCAGCCAGAGATATAAGAGAGTCCTGTAGTGCAGGACTCGTACAAAAAGTAGCTTGTGTAATTGTTTATTTATAATGATGGTAACCATCTATTGGGGTTTTTTTATGTCAGAGGTGGTCATAAGCTCTCTTTTTTTCCCCCTTCTTTAGGCGTAATGTAGCAGCAGGAGTTTAAAATGTATGTGTTTTACTCAGGGCAGAAAGTTAAAATTGCTTAAATCAGGGACCATTTGTACTGATTCAGTTTACTCACAAAGTCTTTGGAGGTCTGTAATATGGATTCTTGTGGAAGGTTATTGGTGTCCAACATAGGCTAGGTGCAAATTAATGCTTGGGACCCATTTAATAGTTATGTAGATTATTATTGCCAATGAGCCATTTACATGAACAGGTAAGATGACCATGCATAAGAGGTTAGTTGTCTGACTTCAGGTGCTAAGAAGAAAGTTGAGTTTCTATGCAACTGAGTCTGCAAGACAGCCACATGCCTTTCTTTTTGGCTCTACCCTGTGCACTTGTCTCCTTGGAACTGTGTGCACACGTAACTTTCTGTGGCCGGCAGTGGGTCAGTTACCCTGGTGCTGGACCTGGTGAGGTGGGTTGGAAGTGAACCTTGTCACATGTCTAGTTGCTGAAAGCCTTACTCATTCTTGTGGGGAATTAGGGTAGAGGATGAATCCCTAAATGAGTTCACTTTTTTCCCTGCTGCTTATACTCTTCCTTCTTGTCTCACTACCCCTACTAAAGCCACTCTACACAGGATTTATCACAAGGTGCCTTAGGAACAAGGAGCATGCCTGAAGTAAGAGCCATATATATCATTAATCAAAGGGATTTCTTCTTGTTTCTCTGCCCATTTGGGTAGAGGGGAGGCACTTCCTAAGGTCAGGCAAGGAGAGTCCCGTAGGCTGTTCTGGAGATTTAAGCTGTTCAATAGACTGCCTGGTTGCTGTAAGAGGAGTAGTACAATGGTGTTTGAGTTTCCTGGCACCATAAGATCTTTGCCTTTTAAAATCATATGCTGTTGTCAGATATCAAGGAACACCAGAGGACTACTCCTTTTGATATGCTGATGCTAAACCTGAGGACCAGAGGAGCACTAGACATAGAAGAGCATTCCTTGTGGCAATTCATAATTTTCTCTAAAAAGAGTGTCTGAATCCAGTGTTGTGAGTGGTGTGTGCTTATGTGTGGTGAGGCTGGATAAGAGACCAAAGCAACAAAGGTTTTTTTGATCTGCAAGTGTGAAAGAAAAGACTGTTTCTCCTTTTCTTATATCTGGGAAAATATTGGATATGACAATGTCATATGGGTGTAGCAAACATCTCAGTTGGTAGAATGAAAAACTGGGAACCGATTGTGTTAAATACATTGGTTAATTAGATGTGAAAGAAGCCAGGAGTTTAGCAGGAGTCAAAGTGCTAAGTTATTTATCTAAAGAAGTTGATTTTCAGTAAATGCTAACTAAATAAAGTTTTAGAAGGTACATAAAACTGCAGAGTTCAAATACATCTTGCTAGGAGGATAATTTTCTGTGGGGTTATTCCACGTTTGCCTCCAAAGAGTCTCTGGCAACTTATTCTAAAAACACTGGTGCTGTTGCAGCTGAAGACACAACATCAGGCCGGGTGGACAGTGGGTCTGACTCCCCTTGGCTTTTCATTCTGTTCTGGATTTTACATGTTGCTTTCTCAGAAGCTTAATCACAAGAAATGTACCCTTCTTTTATCAGGCAGGGAGGGAGGAGGAATGTTGTGATCCTTCAGTGAGAGTTACCTGGTTTAAGCCCATCTGGACTGGTGAGTCAAGTCCCTTGGGCAAGAAGCTGGATGCCATCCATTAAACTCAGAGCTAAGGAGGCTTTGCCAAGTAATGACCCTGAGGTTTAGGAGCTGTGTTTGGAAAATTATAAATAGCTGATGGTCTCCCTGCAACCTCCAGGATGCCCTGGTGACTATCTGCTCTCCTCAGAGGGAAGCAGTCTGCTCTCAACTC